TATTTAGCGCCTAACCGGAGTGGTGGTCTAACAGTATGTATGTTTTTGACAACTTGGTAACGAGAGTTTCGACCTCATGAGATTCATAAATTAGTCGACAGTCATATTAAATGAACATATACATAAATAAAAAAATAAACACAGAAGCCAAAAAAGAACTCCATGTTAATTTAAACCAATAAAAACTAAATATAGAACGATTAATAGATTTTTCAGTTGTAAATTTAATAAAATTGTCCAGAAATATTAAGCATGATATGAAAATACAGTTTTTAACAAATAAATTTGAGTGTTGAATATTAATTACATTGGTTGCATGTCAATATTAAGAAGTTAAAATATTAGGAATCTCAATAAGAAAGTTAATTATATAAATGAATTAAAAAAATAATAAATAGTTATCTTTATAATTTGAGTTTATTTTTTTAGGAAATATCAAAGTGTTACTTTAAATTTTTAACAAAAATCTATTCATTAATTAATTCGAGGTATTTATGTTTTTATGTTAGATTAGACATAAATTATCTCCAGGCCAAAAACAAAATGAGTTATTAAATAAAAGAAATCGGTAAAAATTTGGATCAAATTATGAGATTATGAAATTCTTTTATTTTTATTTAAAGGCATAGCTTTGTGGTGAGTTATCTCAGTTATTTGTAAGATATATCATTAGATAACAAAAAGGTATCTTTAAGGATATAAGTATTGGAAATATAGAATTCTTAGAAATTTCTAAATAAGGGTATAATATGCTTTATCTAATAAAGAGTAAGAAGTGGAATTGACTAAGTATTATTTCTTTTAGGAAAGAATAAGAGGGAAAAATGAGATCTCTATTTAGTATATGATTCCATACTAAATACAATGCACCTCTAGATACTCAATTGATGCTTTTGTACCTGAATTTAAAGATATATGAACTAGAAAGTTGAATCCTTCTCAAATTAGCTTTATTTTAAATGGAGATTGCTCCTAACATTTATTAAATAATAGGTGAGTTCAAATATCAAATGCAAAGATTAAACAAAGGATACGAAGCGATTCTTTTAGACTTACATAATAATAATGATGCTGGTATTAGAGTTGAATTTTAATTACTATAAAACCCATTCCTCTTTAATAAATAACTTGACTTTTTAATTGATAGATTGGAGAATTTAATAAAATAAAAATTATCTTCAATAAAATAAGGATAAATTAAAGTGACTTTGAATATAAAGGCTCTTAAATGCTATTGTTAATGCACTTTTAATGTTCCAAGTTCTACTTAAATATTTACCATCATCACTCAACTCCAACTAAATAAGTCTATCAAATTTATTTTCATTAATATTTTCTATTAATTCATACTTATTTATCTTAACATTAAGCAAAATAAGCGCGTGAGATACCTATTTGAATCTAAAATTTCTAATGGTTTATGAATAAATTGGAAGGTAAAATTATATATATTTTTCAAATACGTTTAGTATTACTAGGCTACTTAAGTTTAAAATAAGTAAATTATTCTCAAGAATTGAAAACTTTTTATGATCCTAAAAATTTCATAAGGTGGATTTTTATTTATAATATTTTAGAATGTTTCCCAACTAGGTTAATCTAGTATAAATCTTATGAATCACTAGAATTAAATGGCAAATGAGAGTTAATTTAATTTTTAAATGAATATGCTACAAAAACTTATACTCTATATAAATAAATTAATTCTGTTCTTGTTAATTAGCTTAAACATACCTTAGAAGTTTGTCTTTTCAAAAACATTATCTATTTTATTACATTTATGTTAATTTCAATCTTCTAATTTGTGATTTTATACAAATTTGGTTTTAATTTTTAAAATAGAAAGAGCTCTTTTTTTAAGAGAACTTTACAAAGCATAGAATTAAAACCTCAGATAATTTTATTATTATAATTATCAGTATGAAAAATTTTAATTTGTAAGGGAATAAATATACTTTATTAAAAGTTAAGAATGATTAGTTTTTACTCAGTTCAAATTTTATTTGAATCTGATCTAAACTTTATTTAAACGCAATCGATATTAAGATTAACTTGAATATGATTTAAAAGTTGAAAAGGATATTAGAATTGATTAATATCAAATACAATTATTAAATGAATTTAAAAGATTAACATTTATATTTTCAAATTTTGAATTACTATGCTTTCCAAAAATTAATTATAAGATAATTATTAATATGTAAATTCTAAATACTATCATTTGAAAACTTAATTTAATATTTCGAGTTTGTTTCTGCTATTAAAATGTACACATGGGTATAGATCTTTGGATGTATCAATAGTAAGAGACTAATAGGATATAAATTCATACGAATGTTTGATTTGTTTAGAAATTTATCCATTTTACATACTGCTTTTGGATATCTACTTCGACAATTATTATATCATTCTATGAGAATGAAAATGCTATCGATTTACCACATTTATCTTATTAATCATGATTCCAACATCGTCCAATATTATCTATATTATATGTTCTATTTTTGAATTATTAATATCATAATACATACCCTCCTCCAACATAGCAGCTATTTTGATAAATTTTACTCTATACAATATCCCTAAAACCAATTCCAATCAATAAATCACATATTTCAATAATTTTGATAGCAAATTAGATGACTCCATTCTTAGGGATCATTTAATCACACATGCAACAATTGTAATGACCAGAACTATTCTCAACCATTTTTCCATTTTAAGTTACTAAACAATTACTATGCTTATAGGATGTTGAGAAAGTCAGTGATTATGAGAATTACCACACCTACTTCAAAAAAAATCTTAAATTATACTTTATCTATTTTTAACTATTTAACCATTTCCTCATTTCTACAATTAGATTACATAATTTTTTCCAACTCTTCTTGCTTATGCTTTAGCTTAACTTCATATTCAACTTCTATGAAAAATCATATATAATTTAATATTTACTTTATTACTCCTTTTCTCTAGATAATTAATTATTTTGATTCCTCAAATCTGTAACCAATTAAAGTAACTCAGCATCATGTTTCTTAAAATCACTTATTATTTACTGATTAGCCAAATTAATTGTTTGGCATTCATGAAGTTCATTTTATAGTTTTTCCTTTTATTGATTGAGCTAAATCTCGAATTAATCAAACTTTGTTATTTTTTTGATTAGAGATAAATCTTTATCAAAGTTTGGTAAATATTCATTAAACTAATATTATTAATGTATTTATACTTTCTATTATTACACCTCTTTGAATTCCTATGATATATTATTTATTATTAATTCATATTAATTTAATGCTTCGTGTAAGATATCTTAATATATTTTAAAATTTTGTAGTTATAAATTAAATTATATAATTGATTTTTTATATTAAAGGTTACTTTCCTCTTTTAATTAATCCTTTTTCGTTTCCATATTTTCTTATATATTGAGATTATATTCAAAGAATATCTAATTAATCTTTTCAGTTTATTTTAAATCACTTAATAACAATATCTCTAAATTTGTAGTTATGCTTTGTTGTTAATTTATGTCTTCCTTTTAAATATTTTATTATCTTTCAGTCAAAGCTTGGAACATATCATTCTAGCTTAATATTTCAGTTAATTCATTAACTTACTCTGGCTTCATCTCATAAATAATATTTTCATTAAATTCATTCGTTTAATTATATTAGAAAATTTATGATTGATTGTTTATCTTATTAATAATTTCTGAAATTGTAGTATTATACTTTTTCTTAATATCTTCAAGAATCTCTATAATTGATTAGGTTCTTAAAGATCTTTAATTCAAAAATTTATTAATTTAATCACTTGTTTATCCCAAATATTCATTCCATCTAAAATTTGCATCACTTAAGGTTGTATATTTAATAGGATCATTTGATTTGATACACTCTACGCAAGCTAATCTTGAAAATTTAGTAGATTCTGGATTCAAATTCAACATTATAATTTCTTTTCCATGTTTATTGCATTGAATCTTTAAACTTGGTGTTTTCTATTTAATTTATAAAATATTAATACTTATGGATCATCTTCTTTTTTCGTAAGTAATTAAACTTACTTTAATTCTTAAATTTAGTCTTCAAATTTACACATTTGCAATGTTTCATTAATTTATATAAACATTGGACTTTTATTTATAGATTCCAACTATTATTAAATTGAATCAATATAGGAATTGTCATTAATATACTTCTATGATTCCTTAGGAACTTCAAAACTAAATGATCCTTTGTAATTCTTTGATAAGATTTTTACATCATCTTCGAATGAAGAAATTAGAGTTTTTGATTCTGATTCTTCTAATTCCTTCTCAATTAAATTCAATTTTTAATCTATGTTACTTTAGACTTTATCAATTATGTTATTGATTGATAATTTCAATTCTTTTAATTATGATTGAATTTATGTAAAATTCTCTATTCTCTTTTGATTCTCTTTGATTTTATGATTCAACTATTCACTCTTCATTTGTTTTATCATTATTTATGTCTCTTCAACTAAAGCAATATTTTAAATATCTATCTTCTCAATTAGGCATTTGATGCAAAGATATTTATTCTCTTCAGCAGTTGATTATTTTAGATCTATTGTTTAAATTTCTAAGTTATGTTTTGAACAGAATTTCTTTTCTATTTCAGTTGACATTGATATATTTAATTATAATAAGATATTTTTAATTATTGATTATTAATCATATATTTTACATCATTTTAATCAAACTAAAAATATTTTGAAACAAAAATTTTAATTCTAAATGATTTATCTCCATATCTATAATATCATAAATATAAAAATATTACATAAATAGTCTTTAATATTTAGAATAATAAACCTAAAGAACATATCTAATATCTTAGCTAATAAGTCTGATACTTATTTAGCAATAATATGTTTTTAGATCTAGGCTATAGCGAGTAATTGTATAATAAATTAATAAAAATATTAATTAAATTTTAATAAATAAATTATAATGAATATTAATTTTGGATTAAACTTAATCTATTTTGATTTAAAAAAAATAAAATATATATAGTTTAAGATTATTACCGACATGACTTTAAATACAATATTCTATTCAACCATTAAAAAAAATCAATAATTTGTTAATCATGTAATTTAATAGTTTTATCTGAGGTTATTTTAATAAGGAATGACTGTCAAATATGAAAATTTTAGGAATTAATTTGATTAATGTATGCTTGATAATATTTTTATGAAATAAAAAGCTTAACTAGATAAAGTTTCATAATTTATTATATTCTAGTAGATATCAATAATTGCTAATGTTTTAGATTTTAGAATATTTTTATTTGAATTAACAATATTTTTATATATAAAAGCTATTAAAAAAATTGAATATCTTCTTATAATTAAATATATAAATGTCATCTGAAGACAATAAGAAATTATGTTCAAAGCATAACTTAGAAGTTTTGGTAATAGAGTNTCTATGTTACTTTAGACTTTATCAATTATGTTATTGATTGATAATTTCAATTCTTTTAATTATGATTGAATTTATGTAAAATTCTCTATTCTCTTTTGATTCTCTTTGATTTTATGATTCAACTATTCACTCTTCATTTGTTTTATCATTATTTATGTCTCTTCAACTAAAGCAATATTTTAAATATCTATCTTCTCAATTAGGCATTTGATGCAAAGATATTTATTCTCTTCAGCAGTTGATTATTTTAGATCTATTGTTTAAATTTCTAAGTTATGTTTTGAACAGAATTTCTTTTCTATTTCAGTTGACATTGATATATTTAATTATAATAAGATATTTTTAATTATTGATTATTAATCATATATTTTACATCATTTTAATCAAACTAAAAATATTTTGAAACAAAAATTTTAATTCTAAATGATTTATCTCCATATCTATAATATCATAAATATAAAAATATTACATAAATAGTCTTTAATATTTAGAATAATAAACCTAAAGAACATATCTAATATCTTAGCTAATAAGTCTGATACTTATTTAGCAATAATATGTTTTTAGATCTAGGCTATAGCGAGTAATTGTATAATAAATTAATAAAAATATTAATTAAATTTTAATAAATAAATTATAATGAATATTAATTTTGGATTAAACTTAATCTATTTTGATTTAAAAAAAATAAAATATATATAGTTTAAGATTATTACCGACATGACTTTAAATACAATATTCTATTCAACCATTAAAAAAAATCAATAATTTGTTAATCATGTAATTTAATAGTTTTATCTGAGGTTATTTTAATAAGGAATGACTGTCAAATATGAAAATTTTAGGAATTAATTTGATTAATGTATGCTTGATAATATTTTTATGAAATAAAAAGCTTAACTAGATAAAGTTTCATAATTTATTATATTCTAGTAGATATCAATAATTGCTAATGTTTTAGATTTTAGAATATTTTTATTTGAATTAACAATATTTTTATATATAAAAGCTATTAAAAAAATTGAATATCTTCTTATAATTAAATATATAAATGTCATCTGAAGACAATAAGAAATTATGTTCAAAGCATAACTTAGAAGTTTTGGTAATAGAGTTTAAATAATCTAATGTTGATGAGGGATGTATTAAGTGCCTAATGGAAAAATTTGATACTTAAAACATTTTTTTAGTATAGGAGACAAAAATAATGATACATTAAATGAAAAGTGATATATTGGACAAAAAGGTCAAATAGTATTTAACAATGATTGAAACTTATTAAAAAATTCAATCCTTAATAAAAGAATTAAGTTTATCAATCACCAAAATTTTACACAAAGTTGAATTTAACTTATCTTCAAAAATACAACTAATAAAAGATGAACTGAAGAATTCGAAACAAAATATATAAGTTTCATCTTTTGAAGAAGACATTAAAGTGTTGTTGAAGAATTAAAAAGGACCATTTAGTTTTGAAGTTCCTAGTGAATTTTTAATACCTATTAATGATAATACCTACATAGAATCAATATAATAGTAGTTGTAATCAATAATTAAATGTCCTATTTTTACTAAAATCATCGAAACATTATAAAAATTAAAAGTTAAAGAAGACCATTTAGAAATTAATTAAGTCTAATAAATCTCTAATAATTAGGAATGCCCATAAGTAATTTTCAACTTATATATTATATAGAATAAACAAGGTTTGAATATTTAATGTAAAAAACATGGAAAAGATATTATTATGTTGAATTTAAATCCTGAAAAAACTGAGCTTTCAAGATTGGTTTGTGTGGAATGTATATCATCTAATGATCCAATCAAATATACAACATTAAGTGATACTAATTAACAATGGAATGAATATCTGGAATAGACGAATGATAAGGTTTAACAATTTTAGAATAAAAGATGTTAAAATTAAACATAAATCATTAAGATTCTTGAAGAAATTAAAGAAAAACATCTTTCTACAATTTAAGACATTATGAATAAGATTAATATTATGTTCTCAACGAATTAAAAAAATGAGTCTAAATAGATTAATAAAAATAGTATCTATGATATGAATAGTGAATAACTTAATGGATTAGCTAAAATATTAAGCAATAAAGATAAATTTTATGATTTAACTGAAAAGAAATATAATATTTAGAAAGAAAACTATAATTAATTGGAAATCATATCAACTAGTTTTGGAAAATTATAAAAAAAAAGATTAAAGGCAACTAATAAGATTAATAATATTTTCAAGGAATAAATTATCAATATTATAGAAGATTAAGTTTTAAATGAAGAAGAAGATGAAATTTCTAATTTGCAATCAATTAAGTAACTTGATTTATAACTAAAGATTTTAAAAATATTTTAGGATATCTTATAAGAAGCGTAAATATAGTATGAATCAGTAATGCAAAAAATCAATATTTTATCAAATTAATTTAAAAATTAGCAATTGTAGAAAGTAAAAATTAAATAATAATAATTAGTTTAATGAATATATATCATAGTTTGAAAAAGATTTTTCAATAATCAAAAAACTAACATGTTTTGATCAAATAGAGGCAGAACTTAACCTTCTGAAAGAAAATAAAAAAATAAGATTAATTAAACCCACAGAAAAAGAAAAGATAATTTTATAATAGTAATAAAAAATAATTGATTTTAACAAACATTAAGAAGAATAAAGATTAAAAATTTTAGATTTAAAAAATGAAAAGGAAGCATTAAAAGCTAAACTTAAATAGCATGAGTAATCAAGTAAAAATTTAATTTTAATTAAATTCTCGTAGAAATTAAAATTGAAGTTAACCATGAGGAGAAGCAAGAAGGGTATGAAAGATGCTCATAACCAAATTAGAATAATGAGGAAATAGTAAAATAATTATAAGAAACTTTGGTATGTGAAATATATATTTGAAGAAGGACATGCCATATAATTAATTACTGACATTCTCAAACACTTACAAGCATAGTAATTGTTAAGTAACTTAAAATGGAAAAGTTAGTGAGAATAATTCTGGTAATTGGTATTGTTGTATGTGTGATTAAATGATTCCTAAGAATGGAGTCATCTAATTTGCTTTTAAAATAATTGAAGTTACTTGTATTATGATTGGAATTGGTTTTAGGGATATTGCAGAGAGTAAAGGTTATTATAATTGTTTTGGAATTGGAGGAGGGTATGTGTTATGATATTAATAGTTCAAATAGAACATATAATATACATAATTCTAGCTATTGTTGTAATCATGATTAATAAGATAAAAATGATAAAAAAATAGCATTTCCTTTTTAAAAAAATGATATTATTATTGTTGAGGTGGATATCTAAAATCAGTATGTAAAATGGATAAATTCATCAACAAATCAATCTTTTGTATCAATATCAAATTATTATTATTAGACTCTGATTATTGACACATCCAAAGATTTGTATCCATGTGTGCATTTCTATAAAAGATGTAAAATAGAAATTATTTCTTGATATTATATTTTATATATATTTTTGAAACAGTGTACACAAATAATCATTATAAAGTATCATCAATTCAATCTTTCTTATATTTAACCATTGTGCCTCTTAGAATATTCTAATAATGCAATTTTTTTATTAAATGACTTTTAATTGAAAAACTCTTCACGTTTTGTTTAATAGTCTGACTCAGAATAATCAATTTTAAGGAATCTATAAAAAGATTGAATAACAAAAATATTTTTCATTATTGAAGAAAAGAAATAATAAATAATCAAACTTGAATCTTAATGGTTTTATAATAAACACTAAAAAAATCAATCAGTAAAATGAAATAATAAAAGCTCTTACAATCTCTTTAATTCTCACACTTTCTGGAATAGGTATTTTGTAAATACAACTGTTACTACAAGTATATCATATCTATATAAGATTAAGTTAAATATTAAATGTTAAAATTATATATATATATTCTTTTTTGACCAACAATTCTCTTTGGATCCAAAAATTTAGGCTACAAAAATCTTATGATATTTTTCAATTCTAAGTTAAGAGCCATGAACTATTTGAGTTATTTGAAGATGACAGTTAAGAATTATAATATCTTACGAAAGGAACAGCAAAGCATAGCTAAATGTTCTATTAATATATTAAATCAGGATTATGCTTAATTAATTCATATCAATAATAATATGATATATTTTGGATGATTAGTTTATAAAAAATAAGTCTAATAAGTCTATTTTTCCTTTTATTTTAATTTTCTGAAATAAATTATATTATTTATATTATAATTTAATTTATAAGAAGAATTATCATAATGCAGATTAAATTGTTATATATTTAAAAAACAAATCAAAAAAATATTTTATTTAAACTTAGGATTATATGATAAAATTCTCTTGCCTTATTAAATTTTAACTTTTTTACCATTTAACTTGCCTATTCAGTCTAAAAATTTATTCTTGCATATATTTAAAAAATTTGATTAATTTTAATTCTTTTTATTATTGAATATTGAGTATCCTTTCGTGTTATAAATTATTTATTTTTTAAAGGATTTCATTTATTTTCATAGATTTTAGGTTAATATATTAGAGTAATTGAAATGTTTAACTCAAAACAATGAATCATATCTTTTAGGTGTTATCTAAATTCAATCCTCATATGAAGGGTAACTATTTTTGATTTCTTAAATATAATAATAATGATCCCTTAGATAATACATTCAATTTTTATTTCATGATCCAAAGGATTTAATAATGTTATATTTATTTAAGATAGAGGTTATAAAATGAATATGATAAATATTTTCGTTATATGGGAGTAGTATTGAAAACTCAATTTGATTTTTTTAATACTTATTCTTACATTTATTTTTGAGATTTAATGATTAGAAAATATTATATATTTGAATTGCATTGAATAAATTTTCTTCTAAAGACTTCATAAATTATTATTATAAAGAATATATTTGTCTTTTGGGATTTTTCATAAAATCATTAAGAGAATTTGTTTCTAATATAGAAAAAGTATAAATTTACACATTGTATATTGTTTTCTTTATCAATAAATTATAATAACAGAAATGAAAGTAGAAGTTATTAGTGTAATTTAATATTTTGCTATTTTCAATCTAGATATTTCTTTATTTTCGTTTTCATTTATTAATAATCTAGAAATTTTATTAAATGAAAATGATAGATAGTATTATATAAATGTTTATCTGACCCGAGTATAACATCATTATTAGATATATATTGTAGATAATCCATATATTGCTTCAGCGTAAATCTTATGTTAAATTTCCATATATCTATATTCTAACATTCCATAATAATTTATCTATCAAAAGCACAAGAAACTAATTTATTCCAATTTTAATTAATAGCGAAACAATAAATATTATACTCCTATGCTGATATCTGGTCTATAATGACCACGATAATAATTAGATTATAGTATACAAATCACAATACTTCTAATGAATCTTTTGAGAGTATTTAATACCAAATTGAAAATAAATTGAAAATGCCTTTATCCAAATTTTATTCTTACAAAAACTAAATTATATTTTTATTTGAGGCTCTACAACAATTAATTAGCAAAAAGTTCATTAAAATATTTTCAAAAAATTCCATATGTTTATAAAATTAATGATTGATTAGATTTCCAAGTATACCATGAATAAACTACTATTTACTATCAAATTCTAACATTTGCTTCTTTATTTATTATTGCTTTTGAATTAATCATAGTCAACTTTGGTAGTTTATAAAAATTTCTATGAAAGTAGTTCATTAATAGGTAAAATATTAAAAATATTATAGATCTTGATGTTATTTACAATTAAGATGTATGCAATGTTGAAGTTGCTTCTTGTGGTACCTAATAAATATTAAAAGTAAATTATTGTTCTTCATCAGAATATGATTTAGTAATTTATTAAACATTTGAACTCAAACCTCACTATTAAGTAACAATTTCTTTCAACTTCTGGAGGTAATAAATCCATAAAAGTATTAGAATCGACTAATGGGACAATTATTAATTTTACTTGTATGCTGATCATTAAATTATTTACGAAAACACATATTCAGATACTACAATTGCTACAAATATATGTGGTAGTTCAGGTTATTCAGATGAAGTTATCCCTATCTCAAGAACTTTCGAGCATTCTAGCACTACTATTTTATTAGTAATGATAGTACAAAAAGGAGTTTGGGGAATTTCTGAATTTAGTTTATCTATAGAAAATTGTATAGCAGGATGCAATTCTTGCGATTAGACAGGTTGTTTTGACCAAATTTTATTCTTATAACAATTTGTTAGTAAGAATATTGGATCAATTAATGCTATTGATGGATGGTTATCAAATGGTGTTATTGAAACATTTGTAGGTAATTGTTCAGGTATTTTTAACTATTAAATTAGGAATTAAATGTTTAAGAGTATTTTAACTTTAATTGGAGAAAACGTATTAACTAGAGATCCACTCCAAGATTAGCTTTTCAATTCGAGTTTTTATATTAAATAGTTATGAAACGGAAATTAAAATTTTAATAGATGATGTTATTGTATATTATACATAATATTCTGGAGGGTGGATAGAAGTTAATTCTATTTATGAATTTTGTTATTTTTTGACTTAAAGATAAATAAATATTCGGTAATACCCTCACAGTGGTTCTACAGTAAAAATTACCATATTGACAACTTAAAATAAATATCATCATGTAACTTATCCTTGGATGTGCATTCGAGATGTACAATTATTTTTAGGATCTAATTCTAATTAAAATTTATGTGTTGATAATAATAATTTTGCATTTGATGGTTGTTTCTCTTTTATTTATGATTGCGTTGAAGGTTGTAATAACTGCATTAAAGGTACTTGTATAGATTGTCTAATTGGATGGTAATTCTAAGCATTTGATCAAAGTTGTATTCCTATTTGTGGAGATTCTATAATAACTAGTTTTGAAGTATGTGATGATGGAAATTAGATACCTTATGATGGTTGTTATTAATGTTAATTTTCTTGTATTTTGGATTGTTTATTATGTGAATTTGGAAAATGTTTAGAATGTAATCCCTTTTTTGAACTATCTTATGATAAATAAGAATGCTTAAGAAAATGTGATGATAATGCAATTTCAAAATATTATGGATACTATTATGATTTCAAAGATCAATGTTCATACTGTTAATTAGAGTGCCAATTATGTATTAATTCTTAATGTTATCTTTGTGAATATGGATGGTAATTGAAAGATAACCATTGCTATTAATTATGTGGAGATGGATAAATTGCATAATATTCTATAGAATAATGTGATGATGGTAATAATATTTCTGATGATGGATGCTTTTAATGTCAGCTTGAATGTTTTCCTTATTGTTTATTCTGTTTAGATATATATACTTGTCTGATTTGTTAAGACAATTTTTAAATAGTAGAATAATTTTGTTTGCCAATCTGTGGTGATGGTATTATCATTACTGAATTAGAGGATTGTGATGATGGTAATAATTAACCATATGATGGTTGTTTTGAATGTTAATTCTAATGTTCATATGGTTGCCTTGATTGTGAGAAGGGAAATATTTGTAAGAAATGTGATAATTAATATGTTTTGAATTAAGATACTGCTATTTGCTATGAATAAGACATAGAAGAAATATTGTATGGAAATTAAAGTGTTACAAATATATCCTTAATTACAGAATGTAGTAGTTTTGATACAATGATAGACATCTAATGTAATTTTATATGTGGAGATGGAATTCTTAATAATTAAGAAGAATGTGATGATAATAATTTAAATAATCTAGATGGATGCTCTAATCGATGTAAAATAGAAAATAAATGGGGTTGTGTATAGACAATTTTTCAAAGTAAATGTTTTCTCCTAACTTCGCTTTCTTTATAATTTATTAATCAAACTAATTCTTATTAATATGTATAATTATAATTTTCAAATCTTATAAAATTGAACGAATCGATATTTAATTTAATTCCTAGAATTAAAGTTTAAATTGATAATATATCTTTGGAATAGTATAATTATTCAATTTAAGATGTAATTGCAGTAGATTAATTCGAATTAAAGGAAGCTACTTATTTATTTACCATTTAATTTTACTAATCAATAATTGATCTACCGACATTAATAGTTTCTATTGATGCATCATTAGTAGATGAGAATAACTTCAAAGTTGACACAAGTTAAAAAAAATTAAAACTTTAAGCTTCAATTATTTTAAATAGTGATTAAGCAGCTGCAGCCATTAAATTATATAACTTTGGCTTATGGATTATTATTGGATTAGCTATAAGCAGTCTACTATTAATTATTTTTGGTGAATTATCTCAATTCACAGAAATATTGGATGTTCTTTAATATCAATCTTTTTTAAGATTTATAAATGTAAGATATCCTGAGAATCTTATTATTTACTTTCAATCTTCAGAATTAATAACATTATAGCCAATATTAATAAAATTGAAAATTAACTCTTTATTTGAAAATTTATTTGACTCTCATTATCTAGAGGGTCCAGGGAAACTTTAAGAATATCAAATTAATGCAGATCTCTTGACCAATTTATAAGGATAATTTACATAGCTTGCTTTATTTTTATTGCTTTATTGTTTTCTTAAATATTTTAAAAGATTCTTATTTAACTATTGGTTTACAAATAAATATTTTTTAAGAGTTAAATTAATTAAATCTACTTTCATAAATTGTGCTACTATAAAAGGATATTTCATGAGCAAAAAGGTGCTAGCTATGCAATCTTTATATAAAGTTTAAGGCATGACTTAAATATTTTATGCCAATAGCTGGGATTTGAGTTTCAAAGCAATATTATTTTTAATTTCAATAAACTCATTAACACTAAGATCAACAATTAGTTTATTTTTAACTATTTTGTATTTCTTTATTATTTTGATTATTATAAATTAGAATTTTAATAACAGCAACTTCAAATTGATGTTAAAGGTTGGAAAAATTAAAAGATTAGAAATTATCATATTAATCAAAAAGCTTTTATTTTTAACAATTTTAATTGGAATTTAAAACTATCCAATATTTTAATGCTTTCTGCTAGCATTCATTAATTTTAGTTATGTATTGTTCATCATTATTATGAAATTCAAATCAATAGATATTGATCTAATTACCATTGTGTGGCTTGAAACACCTGTAATGTTATTTACATTACTCAATATTGCATATATTAAAGAATTTATTTATTATTTTTTACCAAATTAACTTATTAATTATGGCTTTTGTTAAATTGGAATTTTAATTTTTGGATTGCTAGGTCCTTTGTTCAAATGTTTCATTAATTTTTATCAAAAAGCTTAGCCCTTATTGTCAAAATGTAGAATGGAAAAAGGTAAGTAAATAAATTAACCAAAAACTATTTTCATAGATGTAAATTAATGAAATACTATTCTTTGCAAAATTATTTGTCATATTAATTTTCTTATATTTAAATAACTTTATAAGTATTAATCTTATTAATTTTATAAATTCAAGTTAAAATCACAAAATTTGGTTATAATTATATTTAATTAGAAATTTAAATTGTTCTTATTAATTTTTCAACACAATTACTCGTGAGTTAGATTATCAGTTTATGAATCAAAACTTCACCTAGACAGAATTATATGATCGAAATAATGTTGAATATATTATTCACATCTGAACCATCTTATCATAAAAGTCTCTTAGTTTCATAAATTATTATGTAAAAACTAATAGATACTTTTCTCTAACTTGACATTTGAAAAAAATTTAATCTTAATCGAAAATTACCAAAAAAGTTGTTAAAAATTTAATAATTATAAAAATTTTTAATATCTTGGTTATATAATATAATTATTGTGAAATAAATAATCTATTGAAAATTGAATGATAGAGTTTTATGATAAGTCTTTTGGATTGCATCATAGAGTTCAACTTTAACTAAATTTAAGTTTTATAATGTAAAGAAAAATGGATACATAAATGGGTAGGTTTTTAACAAAAAGGCATCATCTAATTGCAGAGTCCCTTCTTATTCTATAAAATATTTGATCATTCTTTTCCTTATAAAGAAATGTTATAAAATTTTGAGGTATTGAGTTAAAAACTTAGAATTATATTTTAATCTTGAGGTGATTGATTTAATGTAGTCTATTCAAA